TGTTTGAGGTCCATCCATTTCCATGCAAATGACATATTCTTATTCTTTCTAATGGAAGAGTAAAAACCCACATTTTATGGATCCACTCATCTATTGTAGAGCATCGAGGCTGTTTCTGTAACTTGGCTTTTGTAAATAGTGAATGTGCAAGTGTCTTTACTGTATCCTGACATATGACGTTCTGGGTAGATGCCCAAGAGTGGTGTGGCTGTGTCATAGGGAAGTTTGATGTTTAGTTTTTTTTGAGTAACCTCCAAACCTCCTTCCAGAGTAGTTTTACTAGTTTACATTCCCACCAACAGTGCAATATCATTGCTTTTTCCCCACATCCCTGCCAGCATTTGTTGTTCATATTCTTGATGTTAGCCAATTAACTGGAGTGAGATGGAATCTCATAGAGATTCTTTTCAAACTTGGCCCTCTTCAATTGGAAAGGACCTAGAAATACAAAGTACTAAAATAATACCGATTCATTTATACATGCCTTCACACATATTCACTTGAATATATATCATGTATCCACTAGGTTGTAGCATATAATGATAAATAAGATATACATTACTATTTCTGTTTTCCAATGTTTCAGAGGGTATTTAAGGCTCATTCAAGTATTTTTACATCCTAAAATATAAATGAGTAGTAATTAAATTGTACCACCCATCTCATACCTCTTAATGATTTATATTCATGCCATCCAATAGATATTCAGCCCAAGCTGCACATATAGTTTATATTTTCTAGTAGCTACATTAAAAATACATACAAATAAAGAATTAGGGTAGAAAAACTACACCAACTTCCCCGAGGAAAGACAACTGCATCCCAGCTTCCCAAGCTTAGGCCACTTTACTCTGTATGGAGTAGGTCAGTGGGTGATCACTCAACTTCACCAACACCTGCTCGAGAGTTGCATGATGAAAATCTGAAAAATGAAGATGATGGAAATACTGGACTACTAGGGTTCTAGACTCTGCTTATAATATTCCTAACTGCCAGATTTTCCTGTGGCAGCTTTTCATGGACAGTGACTTCTTTTGATTGTTTTCAACCAGGGATGTTTCTTCCTACTCCTGTGTTACCTGCAAAGTTCAAAAAAAATTGAGTGGACATTCTCTCCATATGGGCTATAGCATGGTGATTTGGAATGACATTGTAGCCGCTCTTAAAATGGCAGGATGCCTCCCATAAACTGACACTATTGCGAGCTGTAGTCATGATTGTTTAGTAATAACAGAAAATGCCATCACTGGGTACTGAGAAGACTAGGAAACCATTAAGTGTTCAGACACATGTCATAATCATAATGAAGGTGGACCTTTAAAAGCATTCTTCTAGAGTCTAGGCATTTGAGGATATTGGAGTGTTGTTTCATGTACTTTCTTCAAAGTAGAAGATATTTAAAATCATTTTACCTTGGTGTGTGTAGTTATTATCAGTTGTAGAGAACATTTTAATGATGATCAAACTTGGAAACTTGAATACCTTTCTATGTGTATACTACATTTTTTGCTAAGAAATGCTGATGTTGCCATTTAATCAAGATGATATTTCTTATTTATAATAACATTTTGAAAATAAATAATGCCTGCTATGACATTTTATAGAAGCTACTTTTTCAAATCAGGATGGTTTGGGATATTTATATAATCACTAGAAGTATATTTATATTTCTTATGAGCTGTAGTTCCTAATGTGCTTTGCATACTTTCCTACTACCTATTGAATTTATGTTTTGAAAATGATTACATCTAGACAACTGTAATTGTTATGTTACATTACATTACCTTTCTTATAATTGCTGCAAAATTGTCATTTTTACTAAGTATTTTGTCCTTTTATAAAACACAAAAGCATGCTGACCTAAGTTTAAAATTAAGTAAACTTATTTTTTGACAAAAAATAAAAATCACTGAAAAGGTAAATTATTTAAGTCATTTAAATATTGAGAAATTTTAGTCTGTTAACTGTTCTCTCCCACATTTTTAAATACTTGATGTATTCATGGTTACTTTCACAAAGTATTTTAATAAATGAAATTTTGTAGTTAGAAAAAAGTAGGGGAAATAAATTGGCTAATGTATTTTTGTTAACATACCTATAATATTATTTCAATAAATAACCAATATTTTATTTATTTATTGTAGTACTGGAGATTGAACCCAGGTCCTTGCACATGCTAGCAAACCCTCTGTCACTGTGACACACCTCTAGTTCCAGTGTTTTTAAAATGATTAAAGAAGCACTATACTATAAATTTTTTCCCTTGCACTAAGCCTTCAAATTTCAGTGTATTTTTTTCCCACATAAAGAATATCTCGATTTAGACAAGCCGCATTTCAGATATTCAGTAGTCACATGTGAGTAGTACTGCCTTATTAGTCTGTGCAGGCTTGTGTGAATCAACTGCCACTCATCTACAGGCTGCAAAAGTTCACAAGGACTGATGGTGTTTCCAATTTACTGCATCTAGGGGAAAACTCCCATTATTCTATTGCCGAAGTTCAGGATTTGTGGTCAAGACGAACATGATTCTGTAATAGCTGTGTAACTCTCCAGCAGTTTTCATCTGAAAGTGCCCCCAGAGCTTTACTATATTTAAAGGCAGACCTGTACAGTCAACGTGCAAATGTATCAAAGCAGTCTTTGAGAATTTTAAATCTTCCCAGGGTTCCATGACCCCAACCAATGTTTTTCAGAACCTTACAAAAACACTGCTACTCATATTTCTCAGTAAATATGTTTTATGAATGATGAAATGAACCAGGAACACTCCTATCAGTTCTCTGATACACAAACAAAATATCTTTAGCTCTAGGTTAATGAGCCTATGCTCATTAGTATGCTTGTCTTCTGTTTAAAATTCATTTGCCTCTTCACAGAATAATTTTTGTTCCTCTATCTAAGGTCATTATTTCCATTAGGCTGTAACTCCCTTTGTTTGCAAGAATATGATTAATTTACTACACTGTGAACAAAGAGCCATTTTAGAGTCTCAGTTTATAATATCTCCTCGAGACTGGATCTCAACCGTGACATAGAAAGGGAAGGTGCTGGAGCCAGCATGCACTTACAGATGCCTCATCAGGTGGGTGCTGCCCACCATCGCCTGGGAGGCAGAATACTAGCCCACTGCTGAGTCAGAATCTCTGGAGGTGGTCTTTTCCAATGGACAAGGGCCAAGGGAGAGTCACTTCACACTGCAGTTCAACCACCACTGGCCTACAGTGAAGTTCTGCTTAGAATAGCTAGAGATAAAATGGCATACTACCATTTATTGGAGAAGATGCTGTTTCTGGTATTTACTTGTTCACTACCTCTGTTGGAATCTGTGTGGTATGTAATAGCCCTTTAAGTAAATTTTTTATCATCCAGCCAATGAAAACTCGGTGGAAGCTTCTTGACATGTAGGCTATGAATGACAGATTCAACAGATCATAAGTGAAATAATGGCTGAAACCTCAGATCCGATTCTTTTGCACTGTAATGTTTGTGACAATGTGAGGAAAGGTGTTCCTTGTTCCTTTTTAAAAAATATATATATTTCTATGAAATCATTTTAAGTGTACTTTTGTGCCATCACAATTCTACAGAAAATTATTGAGCCAAACACAAGGATAGGGCTTCTAAATATGAATCTGATCTGTGTCTGCTTCTAGGAGGTCATAGCCCTCTGCAGGACTGTGGTCAGAAGCAAATAGAAGCCTTGTGTTAACATAGAATGCATGGGCTTTTTCAGCAGCACCATGGGAGAATAGAAGCAGGGTGGGATGACTGTACGAAACAGGCAGTGCGTTTCAAGGAGACGTCTGTGCTCTGTGTAAACGCAAGCCATGGCTGCCAGAGAAGTGAAGACTTGCCTTCAAGGTTGCCCAGGATATTTCGAAGCTTCCAGAACCAAACTGCATTTTTTTCCCACTAAAGCCAGCTTTCTCCAAAAACATAGCCTTCAAAATTAGCTTCCTTTTTTCATACCCAAAGCCCTGAGTAAGATCTTAAGGGTGATACATTTCCCTTTTAGGCCCTGCTATGCTGTTTAATTCACTCCAGCAATAACTACATAGGAGCCTACCTTTAAAAGATGCCAAAAGCAATGTGCTGCTAATTTATTGCCACATCTATTAAAGCTCTAGAGAGGATCTAACTCCCTGGATTTTAAATATAGTTGAGATATTATGATGATGTTTCCTGATTTAATTCCTCCATAAATTAGATGAAATGGTTATAGTACCTGTTGTCACTTCATTCTTGCCCTATCTCCAGTCACTCTTCTGCCTTCATTACTTCAGCATAAAATACCACATGGCATTAATGTAGCACTTGGAGATAGAAGAGCTACATTTTTATGGCTTTAATATGAAATCATACTTAAAGATGCCTAAGCCTTTACTGGAATGGGGGGGGAGGGTGTGAAGGAAACGCACGCTCATCTCCTGTGAGCATCGCAGTAACCTTGCTGGATAGTTATAAGTGAGGAAACCAAAGCTCAGAGATATTAAGTGAATTGCCTTGGCTAACTCTGCAAGCAATTACAAAAGCCAAACACACAGCCAGGTCTTCTTACTCAAAACACAAGATTCTTTCTAGTACAACCTTTGATCTTCTGGGAATTTTTTTTTTTTTTGGTTGGTTGTGGGGCTTGAACTCTGGGCCTGGGCACTGTCTCTGAACTCTTCAGCTCAAGGCAAGCGTTCTACTACTTGAGCCACAGGGCCACTTCTGGTTTTCTGGTGACTAATTGGAGATAAGAGTCTCACAGACTTTCCTGCCCAGGCTGGCTTTGCACCGCAATCCTCAGATCTCAGTCTCCTGAATAGGATTACAGGCGTGAGCCACTGGAGCCCAGCTTGAAGATTCTTTTAAAACAGTTTCTTGACTGTTTAGCGATGAAAGGCACTCTTACCTACATGTATACAAAGCCGGAAATCTTGGCATCGTCCATCATGTTTGTTACATGTTTTTAGTTTTTCCCTTCACAGTCATTGTTTGGTGTTCTCTTACAGAAGGCAACAGACTATTGCAACAGAAGATGTCATTAGATGGGAACCCCAAACCCGTACATGGAACATCAGAGAGATCAGATAGCCTACAGTGGTCAGCTGAGCAGCTTTGCAACCCAAGCAAGCCTAAAGCAAAAACGTCTCCTGTTAAGTCCAATGTCCCTGCAGCTCATCTTGAAATAAAGCCAGATGAGTTGGCGAAAAAAAGAGGTAAAGTGGGGGGTTTTTTTTGTACAAATGTGTCAACACATTTTTCACACAGAGGAGAATGCCAGAATGTAAGAACTTTGCAAAAGATGATGCTTAATGAGAAGAGATGCACATGAAATTGCATTTTTTTTCTGTGACCCAGATTGATTAAAAGGCAGATGTGATTTCTCCCGTGTAAATGAAGTCTTGAGTGTTCAGATGCCCCTCCTGTGCCCTTTGTGGCTGCTCTCTTTTTAAGCAGGGATAAAAATGCACCACCCTTCCAACCCTAATTGCTTATATAGCAAGTGTTAATGCAGTTCACAGAGAAAATAAGACTAAGTTCCTAACTTACATGATATCACTTCTTCAGAGATGGTCTTCCCCATGTCAATTCACTCTAAGGTCAGAACTTTCAGATACTCTAACTCCAAAAGAGAGTATTATTATATTTGACACACTGAATTTTAATTGTGTTAGCTTTGATCAATGTGATTGATAACTAGCCTTAGAAAATAAAGGGATTAAAAAAAAGCAAATAAAGGGATTGATCTTCACTACTTGGGAAGCTGAGATAGAGAGAATCATGGTTCAAGGCCAGACCAGATATACACTCAAGACTCCTTCCCAACCCATCGCTGGGTATGGTGGTGCCTATCTGTCATCTCCATGACATGGGAGGCTGTGAACAGGAAGACAGCAGTTCCAGGCAAGCCCAGACAAAGATTTCCTTGGTGTTGGTTTAATATATTTCATGAGTGGCATTTCTTCTAAGAACCGTACTCTTGTTGGGATAAGTACACTCTGCCTATTTTCCATGCACTAGGTGGACCTGGGTGACAATTTCAGGAAGTCAGATGAGGTGGGTACCCAGAGAGCCACTTTAAATGCTGCTGCTCTAATCACAGGCCTAGCTGATGCCTGGTGGGCCAGAGCCAGTGTACCTGGCACGAGTACTCCATCTTCTCTCTGGCTCATTTGCACCTCTCTCAATCACAGTGTCATTTTCCTCTTCCAAAAGCCCTGCTGGCTTTTAGCTCCACACAGTAGTGTTTATGGAGATTGCCAACAGCCTGAATGGTCTTTAGATTCTGAGACACCACAGTTTGTGATAGAACAGAATGATCAGGGCCTCTTACTGAAGAGCAAAGGAGACAAGTGTACCCCAGATAAATTGGCCAAAGAACTTATTGGAGAAATCATGGTAGTCTGGAAAGCAGAATGGACCTCCCATTTTATAGAACTTTTGATTTTCTTTTAGAACCCAAAGAGAAAAATCTATTTTGGTTTAGGTCAGTTGCTTTGCAGTTTAACTCATGAGCTAAAGTTAATCTTTCTTTTAAAATCAATTTTAGGCCCAAATATTGAGAAATCAGTGAAAGATCTGCAACGCTGCACTGTTTCTCTGACTAGATACCGTGTCATGATCAAGGAAGAAGTGGACAGTTCGGTGAAGAAGATTAAAGCCGCCTTTGCTGAATTACACAACTGGTGAGTAATTCGCCCAAGGAACTATAAATTCACAGTGCTCGAGCTGTTCCTGTAGTTTGTAAAAGCATCAGATGGAAAACGTTGTTTGTTTAATACATGAACATCACACAACAACTCTCCAGCAGTTTTATTTTTTAAGCTTTGAAGGCCAAAGCATATGTCTTGGAAATAAAAAAGAAGAGAAAGTATTTGAATAAGAAAACCAATAGACATAATTCATTGGAGTTTAAAGTTGGGCCCAAAACATATGAAGAATATAGAATAAACAAAGAATAAAACTTCAATAAATATTTTTGACAAATCCCTGAAAGGTGAATAACAGGAAAGCTACTAAGAAAACAAAATATTTTCAACATTATAAGAAAAACTCCTTAGCCAAAAGTAACAACTTATGTAAGCTTAGTGGTAGAATCATGTTATTGGTTATCGTTAGGATGAGAATTAGAAGTATTGTATGATGTAGTTTGACTGCTCTTCCTTACAACTAACTTTGATGGAAGACATTTCTTTGAGCCCTAAACATCTGTTTAACTCCATAGTTAGAATGAAATATTGCTTTGTATGTCCCTCCCCCTTGGTATAACCCCTGCTTTCACTGTATTTAAGGTTGGTATAATTTGTGGAGGGGAAGGGAAAAAACAAATTTTTTAAATAGGGATACAGGTGGACCCATTGCAACAATGAGACGTACAAGTCATTATGTTGAAAACGAACTTTACAACTTTGGTGGGGGGGGGGAGTGGGATGGGGGGTAGGGAGGATTGGGTAGGGGGAGGATGGGAAGGGATGAGAAGGGGAAACAAAGGAGGAAGCTACAATGCTTGATAAGAAATGTACTCATTATCTTGCCCGTGTAATTGTAAACTCTCTGTACAGTATTTTCACAATAAAAAAAGAAATATTACTATAGGTTGTTATGATCAGTACAAAAATATTTTCTGTGTACTAGTAGGACTCTAAATTTCCAGTGAGTGAAACTAAAGTTACCCTAGTTAAAGACATAAGAGAATCAATTGGGTGACATACATGAAAATTCTTGATTTCTTCATGCAAATTTGGTTTTAAACCTAAATTCTATTATTCATTTTCTTCTCCCTCCTCCACTGAAAGTGTCCCCTTTAATCTTCCAGTTCTGGTTTTTGTTTTGTTTCTTGTTGTTGTGTGTAGATTTTTTTGTTTTGGGGTGTGTGTGTGTGTGTGTGTGTGTGTGTGTGTGTGTGTGTGTGTGTGTGTGTGTACGTTCTGGCACTGGGGCACTCAGGACCTTGCACACTTGTTTGGCTTTTTTCTCTCATAGCTCATGCTCTACCACTTAATCCACAGCTCTAGTTCCATCTTTTTTCTGGGTAATTGAAGATAGAGTTTTCTCAGACTGTTCTGTGTGGTCTGGCTTCAGATCTCAGCCTCCTGAGTAACTAAAATCACAGCATATAACAGCAAGATAGCCTCATTGTCGACTCCAGACTGCCATAACCCTTAGCCTCTGAGATCTAAGAGTATTTCTGGTAGTTCCAGCAAAACAAAAAAAAATCTTATTAGCTGGGTGCCAGTGGTTCACACCTGTAATCATAGCCACTCAGGAGGCTGAGGTATGAGGATCACCGTTCAAAGCCAGCCTGGACAGGAAAGTCCACAGGACTCTTATCTCCAATTAACTACCAGAAAACCAGAAGTGGTGCTGTGGCTCAAGTGGTAGAGCACTAGCCTTGAGCTGAAGAGCTCAGGGACAGCACCTAGGCCCAGAGTTCAAGCCCCACGACCGACAAAAAAAAGAAAATTTTATTAACTGGTTTGGATCAGATATCTGTCTCTTAGCCATTAATCACTGTGTCCAGAGGGATAGTCTTGTCACTGTCGAGACCAGAATCATGTATTGGCAGTGGGGGGGACTCTTACTTGGACCCTAGGGACCAAGAGTTGGAGAGCCACAGGTCTGCAGAGGAAAATCAAGGAATTCACATCAAAACAAAGAAGAAAATGTAGAAAAAATAAAATACATATCCATAATTCCCATGCTCATGCGACATGTTTCCTATATCCCTTCGCCCTCCATAATAGAATTTTATCTCATCATCTTCATTCTTTTTCTGATTTCCAAGTCTTCCTTTAACATGGATGGCCTTTTAGCAGAAACTGTGGAGTTGTGTAAAACTAAGGATTAAGCTTCACACTAACTTTATCTAAAATTCATGAATTTTAAACCATCTGCTACTTATAATATCCTAAGGTTGTGGATGGGTCTTGGGGAAAACACCAAAAACATTTCTTTCCATCACCATTCAGAACTTCACAGGACCTCAGAGGTAAGGGATACTTTTCCTCCACCCAGCCATGGCATCGGGATCTCACCAGAACTCTTCCCTTATGATTAAATGATAGCTTCTTTCAAATCCCCTTCAGGAACACATTTGAGTATGTAGAGAAAGGAAAGACTCGCTACCAATAAATGCTTGTATTATTGTTATTATTATTTTATACTTACTTGGCTCTTCCCATCTATCCTTAAATTAAGTTGCCCTTACTTACATCTATCTTCCAAGCCTGTTCTCTAAAGCCAGGGTCAGTGGAGTTGATCTAGAGGCTGGATGATAAATAATCTGTAATTATTATGAGCTCCACAGACTCTGTGCAACTGCTCAGCTCTGCCACTGTGGCTGCCAAAAACAGTGAAGGCGATGTTACCTAGACATCATGAAGGTGGTGTTTTGCCAATCCCTCTTTGGGGACCTTTGACAGAGTCATAGAGAGAGACATGTTCTGTCCTAGCCATTTCCATGGCTCTTAAGAGACTGCTTCCTCTGGGGCTCCTGTATGATTCCTTCTGCGTAAGTGACTCAGGCACTTACTGACCAAGCATAGCACTGACCTCAAATTACCTCTCTGTTATACAGCTGGTCTGAATACTTTTTATTTCACTCCACTTCTTAGTAAAATGAATAGCACATGGGTCACGAGACATCTTGAGATTTACCACAGATTCTTGGAGTGTTTTACTCCTCAAGAGCCAAAAGTGTTGGGCCAGGAAAGTCAGCACCCAAGGATGCTATGCTTTCTCTGCTGGAGTTTCCCAGTATGCCCTGAATGATGTGGCAATGCTCTTCAAAGTCACCTGCGTGACAAGGGGACTCTTCTCCACGCTGAAGGAGAAAAGATGTTGGCTAGCTGTCCCCTGTGTGCAGTCACTGGAAGAGGAGTGAACTCCAGCACTCATCTGTTGAGCTAACCCAGGATAAAAAAAAAAATGCTCCACAATACTTACGTAAGTGTTAACTTTAAAATAAAACCAAAGTACTTTTTTTTTTTTACTTCAACCCTTTTTCGTGTATTTCTGCCAAATGGAAAACTTCGCCTCTGCTCCAAATAAGCCTACAGTCCAGCCAACATAGTGATGGACTTGGACAAAACCTCCCACTTGTTTTCTAAGGAGGAAATTTTAGGAATGGAAGCTCTTAAAAAATAACAGGTTGCAGAATTGAAGAAGGCAGCTTAGAAGTTTTGGGAAAAGCTTTTTTGTTGACAAATCCATTGTAAGCCTTAGAGAGATCTGAAAATGTTACCACCACCCGTTTAAATTCCATCACAACCTCGGATCCTATCACTAGGAGAATCTAGATATGGAAGGACAACTGGTTCTGAGACAGAGGTTCATTCATGTGGCCCACTGGGGCATTGGTGTGTACATTCATTTCCACTCCTTCCTCTCCTCCCCTTGCTTTGGGACCACCGAATTCTCCTACCTTCTAAATGGTTAATAGGCACCGTCTCTCATATAGAAATAGCTAAAAACTCTCAGGAAAGAAATATGAAATATCCATTTTGCTACCAGAGTTCCAGCTTGAGGACGTGAGTCCTGCGGGACTAAAGTACACTCTCTCTCTCTCTCTCTCTCTCTCTCTCTCTCTCTCTCTCTCTCTCTCCCCTTCCCTCTCTCCCTCCCTCCCTGCTGGGATTCATGGGAATGGTGACTTCAAGAAGCCAGGAGAAAGGAGAAAGCAGTTGTTTGCACATCCTCATTACCACCCAAGCACATGCCAGGGCAAAATGAGCCGACTGCTCATCCTTCCCCGTCAGTCTGTGAAGGATTCTTCTTCAGTGCAGTTATTGAAGTAAGCCATTAAGGAGCTACAATTTATAATAGGACTTGGCATCTAACCAGGACAGAGTTACATAGGGCTGACTAACCATGACAGAGGGCACTCTCCTTTTTCTCCCCCAGAAAGGACAGGGGATTTAGGAGGTTAACAGAGATGCCACGATGCTCTCACAATATGCCTGAATGGAAAATAACTTTGGCAACAAGAGCATGAAAAGTCACATTAGAAACTAACGTGAAACAGCTGGTTTCTTTTCTGTGTGATTGGCCTCCTACCACAACTGGAAAATATTCATTCTTTGGAATCATAGCTGCCAGAGTTAATTGCTTTCTGTGAAGAGTAGTCTAGCTTCTCATCACAAATCGGTGTATGTCTGTCCATGTTGATTGTGAAGGCTGGAAGTGAGCAATAAAACATTAAATTTTTTTTAAAAAAACACCGAGAAAAGATAATAATGCTTGATATATGTGCCATATGCTGGAGTGGAAAATATTCCCAAATTGAGTTAGGTGCAATTGTCAATTTAACATCTAACAACGCTCTTAAGGAAAATGGAAGTCAGTCATGAGCCATCAGGGTAGGCTGTGCTGGGGGGGGGGGTAGTGGAGAAGCAATGCAGAGCATGGGGAAGAGGAGGACAACCTTTTAAAGCTGCTTTGCTTTCAAATAGGAAAGGGAAATCAGTCAAAATACAAATTTTGTAGGAAAAAGCCAAAACTGTTCCTATACCTTGTGTTTGTTTTTCCTGAAGCAGTGCCAGGTCTGGCCTAGGAGGAATTGGGATGTAGGTCAGGACTTTGTTCCCTCCAGCCTCCTTCCTTGCTCTTTTGTTTCTCTGCCACCTTTCCCTTCATCTTTCCATTATTTCTTCCTCTATAGTAGTGGTGGTGGTGGTGTGTGTGTGTG